GTTAACAGTGGCTCAATTTAAACATCACTAACTAGCCTCTGGTGTCAGCTTTCTAGGTCAAACACTTAGCTTGATTTGCCAGTTCCAAAGTCTTTACTTAAATGAGCTTTTAGCTACCATGAGTGGGATCCACATGTACACATACAAAACCTCTTGATATCTGTTTTAACATCCTTTGCAACACCTAACTCAAACTGACTTTGGCAATTTGTAATTTATCCCTATAGCACTTAACCTTTAAGAGAAAACCTTCTTTGCTAATTAGATCTTGTTTCTGTTCCTCATAGGCTCTCTACTCACAGGGGAAATTGAGATGCACCTCACCTAAGAGGAAAAAGAAAGTTTGATTGGCTTGCTTGATTTAGCAAAATAACAGTCCGATTCCCATTCAGCCTTCATCTAAAAATACTAAACTAAAGGATAATGTTGGCACAGGAACACACGGGTATGAATTATCCGTAAATAAGTGTAGGCTGTTAATTAGAAGGTTCCTAACCATCAGAATATCGAGATTCTGGACCAGCCTTTCAACCTTGCGTTCAACTACTCGCTCATTCCGATTGTCCTCTGCCAATAATGTATTTCCTTGAAATTGTATGACCTTGCAGTAACCGAGAGCCTGCTGTATTCTTGGTCTTTTGATGGAATCAAAAAAAAAGTAGTGGGACACAGTAACTTTCCAAGTGGCAGGAGACTTTATGCACTGCAGAAATACACAGTTAAAAGATGAAACAGAACTGGTAGTTCCATTCTTGTGAAACAAGAGTAATATCAGCTTATTGAGGTAAATACTATTTTAGTCAGTACACCTGAAAAGCGATTTGACTCTACAAGGTTTCCTCTTACCGGCTCTTCCACTTCTCCTGTAGCATGCTGAGCTTCAGCTTGTAGATCAATAGGCGGTGCATCTTCAACAATTCTCTGTACAGACATCTGGATGAACTCATCAAAAGAATCCAGCTGCTGTCGGACCAAGCCCTTCTCATCAAAGTAGGAGCTTAGGGAAAAAAGAATGTACATTCAGTTACTGAACAAGAATTATTATTTTTTTAAATAAAATATGATACTTCGGAAGCCATGTTTAAAAATCCATAAAATATGTACTGTGTCTTCAAAACCAATCACTGAAATATGAAATGAATTGGTTTGTTTTCTTCTCCTAACAGAGTATTCAATTATGGCCCTTCCAAAAGGAATTGCCATGACACAGGACAGGATCTAATGCGTAAACTAAGTGTATCCTAAGGAAAAAAATAATGCACCGAGTTCCCACAACTACCTTCCCCATTAACCAGACACAAAGACTTGCAAAACAACTAATCTTTGGCAATTTACACGTAAAGCAGCTGTGTACCACTTTTCAGCCAGTCTTGTATTCTTAAAGTGACAGCATTTATGATTCTAGACAGTTTTGGAATTTCCATCCAATTCCAGATTCAATGTATCACATCAGAAGGTATATATATATATATCAAATTAACCTCAACTACTACCAAAATACCTTATTATGTTTCAGAAAGTTACCTAATAACAATCCAGCATGCTTCCTGCCACAAGTCAGGAGTGATTTCATCATCGTCTTCATCATATTGCATATCTGACAAGAAAGAAAACCCTGAACTCAGACTAAGAATTATCATGTATCCATACACTGGATATGCATTAGCAGAAAAATAACTTATTTACATACAGCTTTCCAATGAGCTTAGTACAACAGGCAAGGCTACATTGCACTGTATTTCAAACTGAATACAGAAATCTTTATTCGTCCATTGGTCCTTAACAGAAAAGAGGAAAAGGCAATCAATGGAAGGATCTTTTTAGTATGAAAGCTTAAACTGGGGTAGGCAACGTTTTTTGGCCGGAGTGCTGAAAACCCCCACAATGCCTACCTTGGAAGGTGCCACAGTGCCAGCATCCCAGAAAAACAAAATGAGGGCAGGGGATACATAGCAGGATGCCCTGCTCATGACCCTTCCCTCCCACCCAAAGTCCCTGCCCCCAGCCCAAAGCCCCTGGCCCCAAGTCTGGGCTCCATGGCTATCAGCAGCTACCCAGAACCTGGGCCAGCTGCAAGCATCTGTTACCTCTCCGCCCCAGCCCCGGATCCAGATTCAGACCCAGCGCCGGCGAGGCAACACATACCAGCAGTGCTCCCTGCTGTGCTGCCCTTGCCACTTCTGCAAAGCAGAATTGGAACCCGGAGCAGCAAGGCACAGCAGGGGGCGCAGAAAGCTGCCTGCTCTCAGCTCCCCACTGCCCTGACACACTTCGCCTGCAGGCGGGGGCAGCAGTTAGGGGCACAACCCTGCACTGCAGCCCACACTGCTCCCGTACACACAGGGGAAGTGTGGCAGAGCAGTGGGGAGCTGGGAGCAGACAGCTTTCTGCGCCTCCCACTGTGCCCTGCTGGGTTCCAAAGCTGGAGGGCAGCACAGCAGGGAGCACTGCTGGTATGTGCTGCCTCCCTGGAGCCCCGGGCCAGGTCTGGGAGGCAGCTGGGGCCAGGGCCAGAAGGCTATAAACAATTGCTGACCTCCTGGCCCGGCCCTGGCCGCAGCTGTCTCCCAGCCCCGGGTTCTGGGAAGGTAGCCCCGGGTTCTGGGAAGGTAGCAGGTGCTAGCACTACACCCACTGGGGCCGGGGCCAGGGAGGCAGTAGCTGTTTGTAGCCTCCCGGCTGCAGGTGGCCACAGCTCTGGGTAGCTGCTGATAGCCACGGAGCCTGGGCTGCTCCCAGCAGGGCTTGCAGCATCCCAGCTTCCTGCTGGG